GAGGGAGAGAGAAAACAATTTTGGGAACTAGGCTGAGCTCCACCCACATGAAGCGACTGGGATAAAGTTACCTGGTGAAGCAGGTAAGGACTCCCTAATACACTGTCTGTCTGTCTCTCTCTCTCTCTTTCTCTCTCTCTCTCCCCCCCCCCCCCGCCCCATGCACTATTATTTCAGTTAAACTTGTGGTTGACTAACTTATAGCCAGATCGCTTTGGCGTCTCCAACCTGGGTTTACAAACCCACAATAATATAAAAATGCTTCCCTTTGAGTTTCCTAGTTGTAAAGGAGTGGCTCAGTCCTCTTAGCCATCAGAAGGGAAGAAGAAAGTGACTGCTTTCCCTTTTATCCCACTATGCTTCTGTAAAAAGCACAGGTAAGGGCAAAGAGTAAATAAGGGCAAACATGCAGAGAACATCGGGCAATTTTGTCATTTTTTAAAAATATATCACCTTTCATTTTTTTTCCTTTTTAAAAAATTTTTTTTCAATTAACAAGCATTTTTTTTCTCTGCTTCCCTCTCCCTTACCACTGGGGGGAAAAAGGGAAAACAAAAATAAAACTCTCAGAACAAATATGTGCATACCAAATATGTTATGAGAGTTTTATTTTTGCTATTTTGGTACCCATTTTGCTTATTTTTTGTACCCCTTCTGGGTATGTTCCGCACCCCCACACACACCCCACTAATGACTAGTATCTTAGTTTTCCTTTACCACTTAATATCAATTAGCATTTACAAAGGGATGTTTACTGTGAAGTTATAGGAAGAAAAGAAGTACAAACATTTTTCCTTAACACCCATACCACCTCCGTCTCTGGGGAGAGAGGACTCAGGCTTAACACAGTTTCTGCAGAGTCCTACCAAGTTCACATCCAAATGAAGCATCAGTGCAGGATGGGAACTCAGCTACCACTAACCTGAGTCCTTCCTTGCTCCTCGGGGCGTTGATTCTGAGCTGGCTCTAAAACCTGATGAGTACTCAACTCTCACACTCTCAGATTCCTAGACTCCTGGAAAGCTTGTTCTTTTGACCTTTCAAAATTCACAGGTTGTAGACTCCAACTTCCTTTACCTAAAACAAAAGAGCAGACTCTGAGACAGGTGAAGAACTGAGACCTGTATTCTCAGGATCATTTGTCAGCCTCAGATAAGAGAAAGCCCCAGACCTCTGCCCTTATCACATTATCTATCCCCCAATGTCACTTAGCAGGAAAAAGTCAGAGCCAGAGAGAAGTTAACCAAGAGAAAGAGGCCAATGGAGACTAATGCGCCCTCCCCTAGTTGTAGCTCTGCAGCCATAGTCAATTAAAAGGCTGTGCAATCATTCAGCATGAACTTAGCAGCCCTATATCAGTTATATGTCTACGTATGCTCCAAAATCTCCATGGTACTCCCATTACATTTCATCTAGCCTCTCCTGAGTCCCTGGCTTCTTCCATGTGGGAAAATACATCAGAAGCACTCAGTGAATGATAATATGAACCAGCCCCCATTACAAATGTATTTCCCTGTCATAGATCTCTCTCAGATTTAGACCACAATGAATCTTGGGAAACAATCTTGGAGCAGAAAAAAAAAAAGATAGAAACAAATGATGCTAAATTTGATTCCAGGATTGTTTTTTCCTCAGGCCTGGATTTTTAATGATTTAATGGTCACGTGTTCTTTTCATCATATTTTGTACTGAGAGGCAAGCAACAATAAAGGTTTGTTTATGAGTCTGTACAACTGAGTTTCCTCTTCTTGCTTGGCTTTTTGAAAAAAACAAGGTCATGAGTGTGTAATTAAACTGGAGTTGTGTATGTTGTTTAGAAAGGAAGAAACTGGGAAAGTATATAACAGGTGTTGAGATTAAAACATTCCCTAGACACTGAAAGCTAAGGTAAAATTTTTCTGACAAACATCTGAGTCAAAAAAATGTTCATCTCCAATTCTTAATCTCTTCGATTTTTTATTGCCATCTGCACTGTCATTACAATCTGGCAATATATTTTCCCATTGTTTCCATGCAGAATACAATCATGACTAAGGTAACACAGAGAAAATAATGTACATTGAAATCCTGGTATACCATGCTCTGTTATTATCAAATGAGATAATATCTGTAAATCACTTAGTATAGTGCCTGGCACATAGTAAGCTCTTAATAAATATTTGTTACCTTCCTCCTTCCCCTTTTTAAAGTGCTATTCTTCATATACAAAGATGTTGCTACCCACCTACCATCAGTAGTCAACTCTGATTTATTTTCCCAAGAGCAGATCTGCAGAAACATATCACCAAACTCTGTCACCCAGTCCCTTTCATGACAGAGTATTGGAAGGATCCCACAGCTAGCTAGTATTAAGGATATGGAATAGAGGGAAGTGAGCTGGTCCAATAATGTCACAAACCTATAACCTTGGCCTCATCTCATCATGACCTGCTAATATTTTTGCAAACATTGGGATAATAGACATTCATGGTTCTGTATCAATAGGATAGGCAATAGGTTGGCTGAGTTCTGACGAATTTGTGTCCCACAGCACACCCAACAGAAAAATCTTAAAAGCTTTAGCAGAGTCACGAATCTTCATTGGTAGGGAGAGGGCACAAATAAATGAGATTACAGACCTTTGACATGATTAAAGAAGTGGCATTGCATTCAGTGTTATTCTTTGGCGCATGGGTGACAATAAGCACAAGAGGAAAAAAAAAACAGAGAAAAAAATTTCATCCTTATTATATGGTACCTTGAAGCAGCATGGGTACAAACTGACGATATGGGCCCAAAGACACCAGTTTCTTTTCAAACTCAAGGTGAATGTGTTTAGGGTTTACCTCCTCTGGTAGTGTTACTAATTACTCAGCTTCTGGCTAACCCCTTGGTATTTACAGAAAGTAGTCTATGAGGTCACCTTTCCTTTTAGAGGCTGAGAAGGGAGCACAACGCAAGGGAGCTGGAAATGGATAAAGCTGTATTTTAATTAAAATAGGGATTTTCAGTAGCAATCTGAGACAGCCACAGATCCTCTTTAGGAAAACTGAACTTTATTCCAGTGTTCAGTATTAACCAATGGGAAAGTTAAAGACTCTAGTGAAAGAGTTCTAATAGAGAGGTGATTTCAACAATAGATCTTTCTTTTAGGAGAACTGTACTTTATTCCAGTATCCAATATTAACCAATGGGAAAGTTAGAGACTGTAGTGAAGGAGTTCTAATAGAGAGCTGATTTCAACAATAGACCTCTCTCACCTAGCTATTGATTGGCTGGGGGGAGGGGGGATGTAAAGGAAGGGCGTTTATCAGTTGTATGTATGTTATGGAGAAAGGAATGGGAGTTTCATAGAAAATTTCTGCCTACAATTGGATCAATCACAATAACCATAGTGGGAACTAGGTATTTTCCAGTTTCTCTTTTAAAATTAATCTCTGTAATATCATTATAACTGTACTTTTTCCACACCCTTAAGCAGATGGTATTTGTAGAGTATACATGAGAAGAGGAGTAAGTGAGGGTAGAGAGGATATACTGCAGAGCGGCAATATAAACTGCAGAACAGTTGCCAGTCTGCATTGGGGGAGAGAGTTTCCTCATCAGAATTCCCTACACCAATGAAATCATAGGTTTGCCCCCCCAAGAAAATATGTAGGACTTTCTGCTGTTGTATCCTGGATGTTTCTTCCAGTAAGTATGGAGAGACACCTTAGAGTCTAAGGAGCATTCCATGCGGCTTATTGTTCATGGAACAGAAGTACCCAAGTTTGAACTTATCCCTCATGCCCATGTAACCTTGGGCAATTCAGTTAACCTTCTTAATCCTCAGTTTCTCCATATGTAAAATGAAGAAGTTGGACTAAATAGCTCCCAAGTTACCTTCCAGCTCTGGATCTATGATCCTATAATCATTCAAATCAAAGTTAAGAAAAGAGCCCAAAGGGTCATTCCTTGTCCTAGACCTAGAACTTCTGGGAAGGATGTGTTAAGACTACAACAATGGCCCTTGATTTCTCAGTGTTCTCTCTTAAACCTCATTGTCCTTTCTCAAAAGTAATTCATAAAGTTCCCTAAAAACCCATCCTATCCACAGTGAACAGAGAAATGCATCTATTTCCCAAAGGCCGTATCAATCTCAGATGTAATGCCTATAATTAGCAGTAGTTTCTCCTCATATTGTGTGTTTCATCTACTTCCACTGACTTTTCCTGGGGTTCTTATAGACGAAATGTAAAACAAAACCTGCTGCTTCATTAGCCAATGTATTCATCAAGCCAGGGCTTCCATATCATCGAGCCAAAAGGCTTTTACCTTTTTCTCCTGGCCAGAAGGGCCTTTTGTTTGGGTGAAAGTTATCTCGAGAGATGTCTATGCTAAGCCTCTCCTCCAAATAGATCAGAAACTTCATTCCAATTTCTTTTCTCATTCCAGCACTAGGAACCCTAGACTGGATTTGTTTCACCGATCCCAGTGCAACTGTGTGCTGCACTATTCTATCAGTTACTCAGGAGCAAGGGAGGCTGCCAGCAGCTGAATTAGTTACCATATTTATTTCTTGCAGAAACAAGTAGACCATTGGAGTTAACATCTTATCTCAGGACACACTGTCTAGCTGCATTTACCAGACTGCTAGGAAGGTGAATTCTAAGGAATAGATCTGGGTGTTTGAGAAAGGTGAATCCCAGAGGAGGAAAGAACTGAAATCAATTTACTTACTTTATGACCATTTAATGCAAAGGATATCGGAACCTAACAAATACAACAAATCAATTACAGTACCTGAGAACTCTCTGTTAAAAGTGAGAGGAAGATTAAGCATCCTAGGCAAGAGGCCCTTGTCACTATAATTAGACCTAAAAGCACAACACCTGTCTGATAGAACATGTAAAGGATTGTCACTTGTCTTACCCCCAGAGTCTTTTAACCTTCACCTGCTTTGTGCTCCAATGTAGAGTCTGAAAAAAGCATTTATGACAAGACCCTTTTTACCGAATCCCCTCTCTCTGTCTCTTGATCAGGTTACAGATATAAAGGAGAAGCTGAAGTTGTCCAAAAAGTTCTGGTCTGCTTTACCCTACACCATCTGCAAGGATGATAGAGTGACAGCTGGCACATCAAATGAAGAGGAATGTTGGAATGGGCACAGCAAATCCAGGTGAGGACCACTTCGCCATTAGCATCAACATGGGAATTTCCCATCCAGCCTTGGAACGCTTACCTGGCACTGTTTTTAAGACTTGTTTACAGGGCTATTTCAGACAGAGAAATAGTGGGTGGAGGAACGAGTTGTCACTTAGTGACAGCTGTTAGCATTGACAGGTTTGATGGGGACCTGGGAGCACTTAGTCTCAAGGTGCCATTTAACTTGGAGTCCTTGTTCTGAATGTTAAAAATCTCAGGGTGAGAATGGGCGATGACAGATGACAGATTACAGACATTCTGAGATCTCAAAGAAGCCCCTTCAGGTCCTCCTAATGACTCTTCGATGAGGAAACTATTTTTATTCCTGGTTAAATTTGCATGTCGTATTTTTATCCTCAATTGGAGGAGAAAGTGAAAATTCAACTTTAATTTTTTTTTCTCTTTGCAAGATAACTGAGTTGTTCATTGGGGGTGTGGTGTCAATGAGCAGGGGGACATAACAGACGCAGTGTTCTGACAGCCACTATTCCCTATGAAGGCCTATGTGACTCACCTGATAGGCTTTGATCTTGATCTACTTATGTGATTCTTAATGCCACAGACACTATTTGACAAGGGTCTGCTCATTTCAGCTGTTGAAATGGGTTTGGATTTCTCCCCACTGAGTGGAACAACTGATTGGTACAGAAGCTTAGGAGCTGGCCAGTAGGGCAAGACACTAGGAGGGATGTCTAAGCTGGTCACTTGACAGATAGAGCTGCAGGTGGACTGAGCAGCTGGTAGGATGGGCTGAGTAGGAGTTGAGGGGTGGGTGGGATTTGTCAGCAGGTGGAGAAGTTAGGAGGAGAGGCTGGTCAGAGATTTTGATGGGCTAGCTGCAGGTGTGTGGAGCAGATGTGGTCCGAGGGGAACGAGAAAAGGAGGCCAAAGTTGACTTCAGAAGCAGCTGCAATAGATTAGTAGAGAAGTGGGAGGGAAGAGGGGAGGAAGAGACTCAGGTCCTCATTAAGACTTTTTCCTTGTGTTGCTGAGTTGCATTTTTAAGCCTCCTGTGTTAATGATCTTGTAAACATTATGAGGAAGAGCTTAGTAAAGTGAAAACCAGACAACTGTGGCAGTAACTGGGTTCTTCTCAGGTTCCCTAAATATTGACGCCTTCTATACTAAGCCCTCATCTTAGTGTTGTAGGTTAGGTAACACCAAATGTTATTGGCATGTCTCCCTAAAACACCCTGTAATTGTTTACCTAACTACCTACCTGTTATCAAGGAGACCTTTGGAGACTGAGGTCAGCAAATCTGACAGTGCATTAACAACAGCTTCTAAGGTGTCTTTTCTTAATGACTGTTCAGAAAGAAAGTGCAACTGGGTTTCCAGATGGCTTAATAAATAAAGATGTTAATTTCTCCGGCTGCTACAGTTGCCCATCTGTGTTTACCTAGCAGCCTTTGGTAAACTTACGGATGTGTTGTGCACTGTATTCCTGGGTTTTCGAACATGTGCAAGTTGAGGAAAATACCAAAATGTTTCAAAAACTGTGTTGCATCTGATAAATGAATAAGGAAGACTTAAGAGGAAATAAAAAAACAAAATGTTAGAGATACAGGAAACCTGGTCGATATTTCATTTAATCTAACATAATCCATTTCATGCACATATTTATGAGAGACTCTTATCTAAAGTATGCCTAACAGAGTATATGCTGGAACCAGCTTGTACCAGCAGATGAGAGCTGATTATTAAATTTTCCATGAGTGCATTGCCTCAGAAATCTAAAAACACTGGGTGTTTTGTTGATTGTCTAGCTTAAGAAGGTGATAGGTAAAATGTTAATAATGCAGATTAAACTTAAAACTGGGTTGCATGTTTTCAGAGATCCGGTTGTTAAACATTTACCAGCATACTCATTCTATATTATACATATGTACATATATTACTATAGTATTTATGGTTCCATAAATGTATATGTCTCTATATAAATACTATGTATATAAGCATATATACACATACCATATAATATATAAGTATATATGCACATATAAATTACATAAATAATTATGTATTAGATGTAATTATTGGCAGACAAATGACATGGTGGACTTGTAATCCAGAAGCCCTAAATTCAAATCCAGCCTCAAACAGGTAGCTAGCTCTGTGATCTAAGAAGCTAAGTCTTTTAGCTTCTATCAGCCCCTGTTCTCTCATCTATAAAGTGGGGTTAATAATAGCAATTATCCCAAAAGGTCATTGTGATGATCAGATGAGTTAATACATGTAAAGTGTTCTGTAAACTATGAAGTACCAAATACATTCTAATTATGTTATTATTATTACACATTCTATGTAGACTATGTATTCCTATACTCGGTGTAGGAAAAAATAAGGAACAACTTTAAAGCTTGTGGTGAAACCTGAAAAGGAAAATTAATGGTTTAGAACAGAAGCTGGGAAATGTTAAGAAAGCAGTAGCTATCATAAAAGGAGAATGGAGAAAGCAGAATTCAAAAATCTAATGATGAACAATAAGAATTTTTTGAACAAAGTGAAAAGAGAGCAAAATTGGAAGAAGAGAGCAGGTTGCTACTAACAAAGACAAGTGACCTGCAACACAGAATTTGGCCTCCCAGAAAAACATGAAGAAACAACCCATATCTCATAGTTCAATAAATCATAAAAGGATATTGCCAGAAAACTTTGAAAACAGAAGCCAACAGAATCCTTAGGCTGCCAGAGAAAGGAGCCCTAGATATAATTTATCCAGTAAGACTGTCATCAAGCTGCACAGCTTCCAAGACAGAGAGAAGGTAGTGTAAGCAGGCAGAAAGAAACAACCCATATACCAAGGAATTTCCGTCTGAATTATCTAGTACTACTCATCAACCTAATAAAAATTAAAGGCAAAGCTAGGATATGATAGGACAAGAAGGAAATGTATATGACTTGCACCCAACAATAACGTATCCTACAAAATTATCCTATGAGGAAAATGACTTTTTAACAGAATTGATGACTTGCGAGCTTTCTTTTTAAGAAAACCAGAATTGGGAAGAGTTTGTAAAATGAAAATGCAACCTACTAAAGAAACTAAATCCAAATTTCACGGAAATCCTTTTAAATCCTTTCAATAAAAGGCTTGTTCTGTGAAGTTTGGATTCAGTCAAAGGGCTTCATGTGAGGACCCAGAGGACTGCATGTTGCCTTGAGGCTGCAGGTTCCCCAGCCCTGCAAATTAAAAACAGTAAGACATGCAAATTAAAATGAGGCATCAAATTGCCAAAGATAATAAAATATGGAGACAGTAAAATGTCGGAAAGGAATTAGAGCATACTGCTATACTCTTGGTGGAACTATGGATTTTGTACAAATGATCTGGAAAACAAGTTATAATTCTGTAAGAAAAATTACCAAACCGCTTGCATCTTTCCACCCAGTGATGCCACTATTAAGTATCGGTAGAGGATGCCAAAAGATTTTGAGATGAAGACAGTGAGAGAAGAGAGCTCACACAGGAATATTATTGTTGGTTTGATTACTGTTCCCAGACAAGCGGTGGAAAAGTGGCTGGGGTGGGCTATATCAGTAGCAAGGCAGGGGGATGGCCAGAGTGCATTGTGGTGGTCCTAAGGGTGCCTAGATATAATGAGCTCTCACCAATAAGGATCACAAAAATCCTAAGGTGGGAACTAAAATGCTACATAGTTGGAGGGAGGTGCAAGGTGGCAAAACAAAGATGGCCTGACTGTGTCCTCATGAGTCTAGGGGTACCTAGACATGGTAAACTCTCATTAATAAAGAGAACAGTGCCCAGGGCAGTAAGATAAATTACACTATAAAAAGAACTTTTTAAAAATGTGTGTTTCTGTATGTGTATATGTCTATGTACATACCTATATTTATATATTACATATATTTACACATCTTATACTAGCTCTTTTCATAGTAGCAAAGAACTGAAACTAAAGTGGTGCCCATCATTTGGGCTGAAAAAATTATGGTATATGAATGTCCTCAAATACTATGGTATGATAAGAAACAAAAAGGATAGTTTCAAAGAGACCTGGAAAGGTTTACATGAATTGATGCAGAGTAAAGTAAGCAGGACACAAAAGAACAATTTTAACGTAACAAAGATGCTGTAAAGACAAACAATTTGGAAACAGTTGGTAACTCTGATCAATAGAATGACCAATGATTTTTGCAGAGGACCAATAATGAAGCAGGCTGCCCACTTTCTGACAGACAGATGATAGATAGATTCAACATACAGAATAAGACCTACATTTTTTGGCATAGCCAATGTGGGAGTTTATTGAACTAAATGTAAATATTACAAGAGTTTTGTTTTTCTTTATTTTTTCCTGAATTGAGGGGTCAGGGTGAGAAAGAAAAAATAAATGCTTCTTAATTGAAAAAAATAGAGGAAAAAAAATAACTTTTTTAAAAAAGAAAAGCCTCTTACATGAAGTGGGATTTGAGTGAAGTCTTGAAGGAAACCAGGGGAAAAGGGGCATAGCATTCCAGACATGAGGGGACAGCCAACATAAAAGCTTTGGAGACAGAAATACCCTCAGTGTTTCATATAGTGCCTGACTTGCAGTAGTAAATGATTATTAAATGTTTTTTCATTCATTTATTCATTCATGTAAAACAAAAAAAAAAACAGAAAGTGTCTTCTCTCAAGTAATTTACAATTTACTGAGAGGAAACAAAATATACATAGCAAGATAATTCTAGTAAATACAAAATTTGCAAATATATGTCTTTTTTAAAAATAGGTATAATTTATACCCTCAACCTTTGCATGCTAAGTAAGGCACAGTCAAGAAAATATAGGTGTGGTTACCCCTGAAATAAAGGGCCCTGTGTCCTACATTTTGGGGGTGTCTCATGTTGCTTCAGGGATCATGTGACTAGGTGATAACACAAGGAGGTAAGAGGCAAGAAAGACAATAGGTGCTCTACCAGCAGGTGCCAAAACAGAGAGAGAGAAAGAGTAATCACACTTTATATAAG